TTCAGTCTCTCCTGACCAGGGTCAGCGTGTTTCTTCCTCAGCCGCGGCACCACGACCGGGGGCCTCGGTAGCAGCCGGGGCTCAGCATGGGGCTCCCAAGCCAAGAGGCTCTTTTCTGTTTTTAAGATACTTGAATTTGCTCCATCCATTAGTCCAAAATGGTTCATGCTGCAGGCCAAGGAACACCATAGCTGGAGCCAGGGTCTGCTGTCTCTGAAGCCACCCCCCTCAGAAGAACTTTGCCTCAGCTACAGATTTAAGCCTCCTGAGAAGGCATGCAGAAGGGAAAGGTGCACAGCTTTGGAATATATTTTCCTAAAAGCATTTTAGTTGCCAGGAAAAAGAAGAGCCCAGACCTTCTTCCCTCACCTCTCTCCTGTTTTGAGAAAATTTGCCTACGCTACAAACCCCATTTTTAAGGATTTCTGAGCTATATTCTCTGCCCAATGCATTATGCCTTCCCGATGAAGAAAAACATCCTTAAGCTACTGGTTAGATACTGACCGGGTGTGAAACTCCTCAAAGGAGAAGGCAGCAAACAATGCTGGGGCAGGGCAGCCGTGTGGTATGCTGTACAATGAGCTGGATGGGCCTCAACCTGCCTCTGTGCAACTGTATTTTACATACAGCAAGATAAGGTTCCTATTACTGCTCTGATCATTTTCATTTTACTTGAAGACTTTTACAATTCTCACAACATTGTATATAGTGCTGTCACATAACTGCTGCAGAATGGTAATTCTTACTCGAGTATCCCCCTAAGGAGTGTTTTCCCCTGCGTAACTTTGTAACAGAATTCAGTTTTCAAGGTCCCCACAGCTCAAAAAATACTTTAAAAACCCTTCTGGAGTAAAACATCATTGTCTGTAATTTAAAAGTAAGCATTTCTGTAATTAGTAGAGAAGGTGACAGCTTACAAAAGCTAGGAGGAATGGTGATTGTTCAGCACCTCCAAAGAGGTTAGTTTTATTTACACATATATATTTGTATGTCCTAGCATTCAATCATGTATTGAACACTGTGTTCAGTTTTGGGCCCCTCACTACAAGAAGGACATGTCCAGAGAAGGGCAACGAAGCTGGTGAAGGGCCTGGAGAACAAGTCTTATGAGGAGCGGCTGAGGGAACTGGGACTGTTTAGTCTGAAGAAAAGGCGGCTCAGGGGAGACCTCATCGCGCTCTACAACTACCTGAAAGAAAGTTGTAGCGAGGTGAGTGTTGGTCTCTTCTCCCAAGTAACTAGCGATAGGATGAAAGGAAATGGCCTCAAGTTGCGCCAAGGGAGGTTTAGATTGGATATTAGGAAAAATTTCTTTACTGAAAAAGTGCTTAAACATTGGAACAGGCTGCCCAGGGAAGTGGTTGAGTCACCATCCCTGAAAGTATTTAAAAGATGTGTAGATGAGGCGCTTAAGGACATGGTTTAGTGGGCATGGTGGTGTTGGGTTGACAGTTGGACTCCATCTTAGAGGTCTTTTCCAACCTTAATGATTGTATATAATTCCCTTGAACATACACCCTTACAGAAACCCCTACACAGAGATCAAGCTAACTGTTCTTTAGAATCTGGGGTTAAAAATCTTCATAGATTGAAAAATCATGAATTACTGTCTTCAAATACCTGCTTCTCTTAAAGCACAAAACTGAGTCATGAAAGGGTGTTGAGACAGAGCAAGCATCCAGTTTATAGGAAGCACCCAGAAGAACCCAAGCCCTCTGTTATCACCCACTCCTGCAGCCAAACAGCGGGGTCTCAGACGTAGCACAGGGAAGCTGAGAGAACTTTCACTGTAAAGGTACTGTCTCCTCCAGTAACAAGGGAAAAAACTTATGTTAAGGGAAGAGTGGAGCTGAAAAAATCTAGGAGCTTAATAAAATTGTACACATAACTTTCCCAAGCAAACTGCTGATGAAGCCATAGAGGCCCTAGACCAGTGGTTTGCAGCAAGACAGGCAGACTTTATGGGTCAGACGTAACTCCAACCCTGGCAGACGAGCTCAGGCCATGTGGGAGCAACTTGGGCATCTGTACGCTTGGACCAAAGCCCAGGCACAGCAGAACAGGTCTGGCTAGAGTTGGACTTGCTCATTGGCCTTTTCGTACCACAGCTGTCCACAGCTGTGCTGTCAGCTTCAAGCAATGCACTGCAAGGCTCTGTGCCTCACTAGTGCTCCCTACCGGTTGTGCAAGCTTCACTTAAGCGGGCGTCTAGATCAGGAAGAGATCAAAGCCAAATCCCAGTAAGGACAGACAGTTATTCACACGGTATGAGGCTCCCAAGCACTGGCACTTGCCAGTCTGGTTCTACCTGTCATTTCACATTAAATGATGACACTCCAGTTCAATTCCAAGCAGCACCTGCAATAAGCCATTTGGTAACAGGCAATATCTCCTACATAAACAGGCTTAGCTAAGGAACATTTGTGCACAAGGTACACAAACTCGCAGCAGTCCTAGGACTGCACTCAGAACTTTGCCCCACAGATACTAGCCCATTTAGAAAAATGGCAAAGGTCATTCAACTTCATTGCCATTGTTCAGCCTTCTCAAACCAACAGAAGACAACTAGCACAGTAGCTATCATCGATATATTTCATTGCAGTTAGTGGTTGAACATTGAAGAACAAGCGTTAACATATGCCATGGCGAACACTAGAGAAGATGCCATGCCCAGCAGAGCTGACACAGGAGAAACACAGCACTTCAACAACTTTCAGATTTCATAGTGCGTCACCACTGGTGGCTCTTTACTGGGGTCTCCTCCTCTCTCCAGATACAGGTCATTGAAGGGATATTGCTTCGGTCCCTACAAGGAGAGATAAAGAGTGGCAAATTCACCACATTCACCAAGCAAATTAAGGGGTAAGGGGATGGGGATGTCTTATACCATCCCACTCCCACCCAAATCAAGGCTTGTCATTTACGACTTAAATCTCTATTTCTTAAGTTCTTC